GACATGAAACACGCATCACAGGAGCCAAAAAATAAACGCACACAAATCGTTCTGAGGATGGAAATCTGTTCACAAACCTCTACACAATGGACACAACCAACACTGAATGTTTTCCTTGTAATTTCTAGGTAAATCTAGTTTATTATCAGTTATGTCACAAAACACAATAAAATGTCATACATGCCAATGAATCTGAGAAGAGTAGAAAAATCTGAACCATGCATGCATTGCAAAGGTCAATGCAGTGAGTAGAAGCACGAAAGATAAGATGCAAGTCATTTAGATTAGAAACATGTTCAAGAGAATAGTCCTTTTTGCCATGACTTACGATTAAGGTTTATAAAAGCTGAAGATCATTCTGCATTGACTGGACATTAATAAAGATGTTAACTTGACGTGATTCTACCTTCTCTGGATTGGAGTGAGGTTTCCTGTGCCATGGCAGCGCCGAGTGGTTCCTTCCAAAGCGTGGAGGACAAAAATCTTCTATTTGGCTGAGGTAAGTCAAGATGGAGCAGGTGGTGCCATCCACCCCATAAAAAGCATAGCAGGGGTCTGACTGCCAGCGTACCTGCAGGAACTACCAGACAGATGTATTGTGATAAACTTAAAACAGTCATGCAGTCAACAAACTTCTGAAATCATTCAAACTTATTTATAACCACAACAGTCAACAGTAATAAAACACATTCCTGATTAAAAAGGTTTCTAACTTTACTCTGCACTATAGACTTTAGATTTTATTATAATACACATGTATTGTTCAAATCTGAAACATGGAGGTTGAATACAGAGTCCACACATGAAGCCACGAAGTTCATGCTTCCACATATATTCCCACTTTCTCACCTCCACTTTTTCGGCACAGACCGGATACGCAGCGTCCACTGGCACCTCACACTCACTGGGCCCTGTGGGTAAGATATGAGCCGTCACTCAGTTTTTCTTTCAGAGGCTATTTTAGATGCATCCCAGTCCTGGCTTTGTTAACAAAAAGCACATTGTAGGGTCGACTCTGGGTAATGAAGAACAGTGGGTAATAACTTTGATATACAAGCTCTCAACTGTAACACGCTCAGTGAGCAGCAGCCACCAGCAGGACGTACTGAGGCATTTAGAGTAGAGTGTGTTCTCAGAAGCCATTTCCCGTAAAGCCCCCCACCATCTCTTGCAAATGTCAATCAACTGCTGAACACACGCACACACACACACACCTGACCCACCTGCCTCCTACCAAACATTCCCCTTTTACAATGTGAGCGTTTGCCAACATACACAGCGCTGAACGGTGTAAAACAACCTTGTAAAAATGAAAAGAGAGAGGGAAAAAAAAGATAAGAAAACCTGCAGGAATAGCTGAGGTGTGAAAGCATGAAAATGGTGATATGCTGTAGGAGCGCGGCAAAATAGAAAACGGAAAAGTGCTCCCTCTGCAAAAACAAGAGTACGAACAGACAAGTTGGTGAAAGGACCCCTGGGTAATTCAGGAATATTTTATGGGGTGAGGTAATGTGAGAGGAAGGAGGGTGAGGGGTGAGCAGGCTGGCGATGGAGGAGGTGTGTGTTTGTGTGCATGCGGGTGGCATGGGTGTGTGTGTGTGTGTGTGTGTGTGTGTGTGTGTGTGTGTGTGTGTGTGTGTGTGTGTGTGTGTGTGTGTGTGAGACACCCTTCCTAACCCACCTCTCACCTGACACCTCTCAGGAGGGTAGTAGTGTAGATGTTAACTTTTGAGACTTGTTAATTCTCTATTCAAGGACTCCATCCCCCATAACCACCTGCACCCACTGCCCTTTAACCCCCCCAGTCCCACCCTCCACCATCACAGCTTGTTAATTCCACTGTGTGGTTCATTTCTATTGAGGCTGCGAACTGTGCGCTTGGCTCAGAGTGTCACACCACCGCTGAGGAGCCTGCCCAATTATTGAAGGTGCGTACAGGGAGAGTGTATTTATTTGGTGTAGCCACAACATTGACGAATGTTATAACTGGAACAAATGATTTTGTGTTTTAATTTGGCCACGGATGTGCTTTTAGTGAAGTAAGCTGTGAGATGATTTGTGTCTAATAGCCTCATACACAAACTTGCACAAACTAAACATGGCTGATTTTTTCCATCAACATCCAATTATTTTCTGAGAAATTAACAAAAAAAATTGAAAAAACGCCCCATCTCACCATGTTAAAAGAAAATAAGAGAGAATTCCTGAATCTGCCCCCTGATCCTGAGCCATGTGACAACTTCCCTGACTCGTCCTTCCACCAAGTTAATGATACAGACAAGTCAAACCAATAAAACTCCCCAAAAAAGATAGCTAAAACCAATCAGTGGAATCGAACTACATGTGGTAAAGGTCTTGTCTTTACCTCTGTGCGCTCTGAGGTCGTCATGTGGCGCTGGAGTGTGAGAGCGATGGTGACGCTGGTGACTACGGCTGAGCTGATCCAGCTTCTGGGACACTCGCATTAGCTCCTTCTCCACCAAGCGGGCCAGACCTTTCTGGTCCTGTCTGAAGCTGCGAAGCACATGCAAATCTTCAACCTCTCACTAACCCTGTGTTTGTAAAGATCAGTTTGTAAAAGAGTTGTTGAAAACCTCTGCAGTATCACACTGAGATCCTCTCTGCTCAGCTGGGTCACATCCCTCTCTCTGCTCAGCCTCTGCACCTGAGTGCTCAGAGCCTCCAAACGCAGAGCCAGTCTACGAACGCCGAGACCGCGCTGACCTGTAGAGAATCAGAATCAGGTTTTATTGCCAAGCAGGTTTACACATACAAGTAATTTGTTGTATAAATATAAAAAATCTAACATCAGAAAAGTACAAAAAGTACGAGCATATGCAAAACATTATATGTGACTGTATTATACAACACGTATGTGCAGGATCATGCTCCCCTCATTCCAATGTAGAGGTTTAAACATATAAACACAGAATATTAAGTCACAGCAAATCTCCTAAATAGGAAATCTTGTTCTGTAAATCATGAAAAGCAGTGTTATTTAACGCTGTTTTCTTAACTCTGTGTCCTGAGAAGTAATGATTATGGTCACGTGTATTTTCCATAATCGGTGTCAAGGATAATGTCACTGAATCATTTTTATGACAGAAGAAAAATATATTTATGATGGATAAAGATGGAAATCAGCCATCATTTTTAAAAAGAAAATATTTATAGAATTGTAACTAGAGCTCTGTGGTCCTCTCATTAAGCATACACACACACACACACACANACACACACACACACACACAGACACACACCAGGGTTTGAACTCTTGCAGATACTCTGTAGGAACATGTTTTTGTGCAAATCTCCACAGACACCTTTACGATTGAGGGTAATGCAAATTGCTGACCACATGTACAGTGGAAACATCAGTTTAAGGTCAAACTTCAACATGTTCTCCATGATACAGATAAAATATTCACCAACTTTACATTTACATTTATTGATCCTCACGGGTTAAGGCCTTGGTTTAGAGAAATTGTTCTCAACGACACTTGATTCACTGTGCGTGTGTGTGTGTGTGTGTGTGTGTGTGTGTGTTACCCTGCTCCTCCGGTGACCTCCCAGCAGGTTCATCCTTAGTCATCTCATGTGGCACCCACAGGCTCTGCAGCAGCAAAGTGACAGCTGACAGGCACAGACAGAGCACCAGGCAACCACTAGAGGGCGCAGTAAAGAGAAGCCTCCTCAATGATATAGCAGCATTCAGGAGTCAGTGGTTCTCAGTCTGTTTCTCTATTCTGTCTGACGTGAGCTCCACAACACTGAAACATCTGTCATCTCCAAAATCTGTTTATCTGATTTTAAACTTTTATTTGATGTAGTTCTGAAGACAGCATTTATAATGTTACTATTTCATTTATCCCTTAAACAATTTCTTAGCTATTGATCCCTCATGATAAGCCAATTCTTATTAATGGTTTACTTTATGTATCCCTTACCTGAAAAAAGTTCTTATCAAACTAAAGTCTTCCCACATACACCCTTGCAAATTGAAGAATTAACACAATCTTCCTAGATAGATAGATAGACAGACAGACAGACAGACAGATACTTTATTGAACCTGAGGGAAATGTAGGTAACTGCAGTATATACAATATAATCCTAACTCTGCCCATATTATGGCTCATATTATTTTAATAAACACCAATAATCTAGAAGACAACTTCACATGCTGTCAATGTTATAGTTCTTAGTACATTTATTAGCCACATATTGGACATAAAATGTCACTTTTGAATAATTTGTATCATACCCAACCAGTTAAATCTCGTTTTAACTTCACAGAATTGATTTTAAGAATGCAATAAAAACTTACAGCCTGACTCCAGCCTCTCACCAAACACACTAAGATGTGGAGAATTACATTTTTCCATGACTTCAAGCGTGTGTCAAAACAAATAAGTGAAGCGTGTGATGTGCCGTTTACAGCGTGTGTCCACTCGCTGCTCACTTGGGCACACACCCTCAGTTTAACAAGGGCGGAGAGAGCCATCACTCCACTTTCATCAGGCCTGTAAACACACCAGCCCCGAACTACAGAAACTTGGTGAAGCCCAGCCAGCACACACACTAACAGCTTCACTGCTCCCATAGAGTCTATAAAGCTTCACATTCACATCCAGACAAATTATTTCCATTCAGCTCTCTTTACGTCAAAGTTGTCAAAGTACTCATCACGACATCACACACATGTGGTCGAGGGTATTTACAAAAGAGAAGAAGCACGTCTGTAAAAAGCACAGGAGGAATCTTAATAAAACAGATGTGATATTTGGCCTCATTTCTGCTGCAAGTGATACATGATCCAAGTCTACACAAAAGGAAGACACGATTATGAACATACCATCAGTGATGCATTACACTGTGCTTTATTAACAAGCCCAGCACTTACTGTAAGGTGCATCGGTTAGATCTCTACTGTTCAGTTATTATCCAGTGTCTTACCTGCGTGGCCGCAGTCCAACACGCATGGCCCTCCGGTTAAAGGTTGCTGGATTTCACTGTCAAGACAAGTACATTAACAGTGAGTGCACCATTAATAAATGTATGGTTGCAACTGAAAAATATTATCATTTATTTATTAATTTAGTAATTCACTTATTCTATTTATTTGGTTCCATGTAAACAAGAAATTTCAAACAAAACAATAAAATAATAAGGTAACACAGAATCATTAAATAAAGAAACAACAATGTTACAGTACTGTTTATATAAATTCAATGACAGTTCTTTTTTTAAACTGAAAAATACATTGTCACATTTGCATCAATAAATCCTGTAGACTGCAGGTCATGAAAGACTTTTCAGCTTGTGGTCTTTCTATGTGGGTTTTACACATGTTCTTTAGAATGAGAGAAATACTGGATAATGTCAGAACACAACTGTTGTGATGAAACTGTTGTTCTGCATCAGTGTGGGACAGATACACAGATGTTTCAATAGCAAACCAGCACATGCACAAACTCACACACACACACACACACATCCTCACCTCCTTGGTTCTCCATCCCAACCCACTGGCAGCCACCAGGCCTGTTGTCAAAACACACAAGCTCTGTGAAAATAAGGGTTGGTGGCCGGGGAGTATCTTGCCTCTTTTTTGTTTCTTTTCGTTCTCTTTTCCCTCCTTTTCTCCGGCCGTGTCTTTTCTCTTTCTCATCGCATTTGGCTAGGCATCCTGCAGTTGTCAAGGTAACCTGACTCCCCTTAAAAAGAAAACAATACCCTGAGTGCTGCTCGGGTCTTTCACGTACACAATGGAGCCCACGCTATTGGGTGACGCAGTTTCTTTCAGCCGCGCTGGCTAGACTTAAGCCTTGTGTTTGAATTGATACTCAAGAGGGGAGCTCATTTAAATAGCTCAAATGGTGCAGATCTTTGGCTTTGGATACACAACACAGACACAAGTTGGTACAAATTTAATGACAGTGTAATGCAGACAATAGACTTAAAGAAATACCCAGTGGAAAGTGTATAAACATCAATTACAAGTAAGATGTTATTATGGCTTACTGCGTTATAACAGATACTTCAAACAGGAATTTATATATTTATTTGGAGGTTTCACTCTAGTGCCAAATCAGAGAAGCTATAAGTCAAGTTATTTAAAGGTCATTAAGACAATTATGACAAATATGCTTCATTGACTCTCCATAGATTATGTTATTTGTCACATTACTCAAAAAATGATTAAGTCAATCGTGCATGAAGAGGAAAGTGATTTTTGTTGGTAACAAGTTTAAAAGCCTGAAGAGGGCGCCATAGTATCAAGGTGTTGTTGTCGCCCAGAACATCATACAATGTTCAAGACACTTATTATAGACCTTACAGAGAAACAGTTCCTGCTATATGCCGGTACTTTGTGACTGTGGAGGAAAAAAAAAAAATTTTACACAGAGAGAAACGGTGGGAGAAAGTGCTCAGTGCATGATGGGAGTTCCCCCAGCATTCTAGGCCTGCAGCAGCATAACTAAGAGCCTGTATTCAGGGTATGATGTGATCTGTTGGGATAATAGGGTGCTGTGAGCTCTTTATTATACGATGGTGCTTCATGAGTAAGGGATTTGTAAGTGAGGAGCAAGATTTTGAATTTTTTCTTTTCTTTTATTGTTATGACTGATACCTACCACAGGGACGTATACAGAAAAGGATTGGTCATTTTATTACAATATTATTTTATAGTTTTGTGGTCCATTTGAAGTTTGCCTATAAAAAGGGTGATTATGACGACCGAGGACCACAGACCACAGTTGCAAACAGCAGGCTGAAGATTTCCACACCACTTAACTAACTAACAACATCCCATTTACGTAGAGATGCAGGAGACCAGGGCACATACGTCACTTTGGGAAGGATTAGTCTCAATCAGCTGACATATGATCATTCAAAGAGGGAACAAGTCCATTTCTTTCAGAGTACACCCATAAATAGAATCAGATGCTGATTTAAAGATTTGTGTCCCTTACCACAACAAGTAAGGCAGCCACAACACTGACCCCTGGTTGGCTGGCTAAGTCATTTGAGGTAAGCCACATGAGTGGAGATTTTCCAGGGAGAAAGCCAGGTTGAACACAGGGAGGAAAACACTGATCAGACCACAGGAAGTCACTCCTTCCACCTGCTGTTAGCTCATCTACCATTTGTGGATGGGAGTTTTAATTGATTCTAGAGCTGAAGCCAACCATTATTTACATTCTTGATTCATTTCTTCATTTATGAATTAATTAGTCTCATAATTTAAGACAAACACCACATCACATAGTTTGTCTGAACTCATCAAAGGTAAACACAAATGTTTTTTGATTTACAATGAAATACAAAATAAAAACAATCACATTCTCACATTTGAGAAAATAATTTATCTTCTTTTTTAACTTTTAACTTAAGAGGTTACGTCCATTTGTTTTTTGGTTGATTCGCTTCTTCGTGAGCAGGATTGCACAAAAACAACTGAATAGATTTCCACAAAACCTTGTGCAAGAAGCAGTATGGGTAATTACTTTTGGTGTGCAGTTCCTCCTCTACTGGTGAACCTGCCCTATTTTACAATATGCAGATATCCACATGCATGTACAGTGCAGCTGTACTTTGGAACCCTTGCATGTTCAGTGTCTTGGTCAAAGACAGCAATAAACTATATTTATGCAGCACTTTCCCGGTCTTATCGTCCACTCAAAGCGTTTTTACGTATTCACCCAATAACACAACATTTTCTATATTTTATATAAGATTCTGTTCACTGATTCTTTATCCTGTAGGTACAGCAATGTAGGGGAAGTTCAGGGTTCAGTATATTGAACTGGTGGTGCTGTACGAATCAAACCACAAATTTTATGGTCCATGGACGACCCACTCTATCCCCACAGCCACCACGGATGCTGAGGGAAAATAGCATTGCACACTCACTTTGCCTGCCCACATTTTAGGTCAGGTTTTCTTGTAGATTTATAAGAATGAGACCCTGCTCCTACTTGTACATTACAGAACATGATGCTCACCAGACTTACCCTGTGTTCCAGCTCCTCGTTCTGTTATAAAACATGTGCTGTCTTACCAATACATGTGTGTGCAGGTGTGTGTGTACACCTCACTGTATACGTGCACAAGTGTGCGCATGTGTGAGTACATGTGAGCTCAGGAGGAGTGGGAGGGAAGCGGAGGCCGGGCTGGTGGTTGGTCACTGAACTGATGTCACGCAGTGTGTGAGAGCGGAAGGATTTGATGAGCATAAACCTCCATAAGCTAGGACCTCAAGGCTTACTGGCTTTACACCCATCTGTCCCTCTCTTACACACACGCTGACGTTCCCTCATGCTCTCACACTCACATTTCCTACTCCATTTAAATATGCACACATTGAAACACAAACTGTCAACGTGTACTTTGCAAGCATACGTCTTGATCCGTCTCAGGTTTTGCATGAGTATGAAATCCTCCTGATGATGGTGTTCCTGCAGCATTAGGATGCTCCTCCTCATGTGACACAGCAGCTGTCGTCTTTTCCTGCACACTTCTGTGCCAAATACATCAGCACAGGCTGCGCGATGTACACTCAACTGGTTACGGTCGCCATTTTGGCTCTGTGGAACTATTCTTCAAATGACACAATCAATAGTCTGCAGAACATTAATGCTGTACAAGATTATGTATTCAAATTTCTTAGCTTTACATTATTCAATTAACCTTCTTATTCCTTCTCTTAAACGGCAAATGGTCTTTTCATTTGACACATTATTCTTTAAAACCTCTGAAAAGTGCTTGACAATGCATGATTCAATGTTGGATAATGTGAAACTTAACAAATGGGTTTCAATTATTGTTGCTTCTTCCTCACTTTGCTCATTTTCACATCTCTTGACGTTTTGTTAGTCCATCTGCAGGTACTTAGTTCAGTCTCAAAAAGAAGAGTGTTGACTTTGCTCATTATTCATCAGATATGACCACCACAGTTATTTCTGAGATGTGAATGGATTTGTCTTGTAGTATTTTGTGTTGGGCAACTAACTCCAGCTTCTATTCTGTTCTAACCAACACTTGCTTCAGGTTTTTAATCTGTAAACTTACAACAGAAGTATAATAAAGTGGTACAGTTTATATGTGAAAGACATTTTTAGCAACAGCTAAACTTTCAGATGTCACAATTGAAAAATGTTCTGATGTCACTCATTTTGCAGCCAAGGCTTGATTTTCCTCCTCTGTCCCAGACGAGGGCATGAAAAACATCATGCATGTCCAGGAAAAGCAAAGCAAAACAACATTTTACTGCTAGGCAATGTTGGCTCCACGATTCAATTATCAGTAATAACTGTCATGTGTTGGTTAGTTGTTTTGGTGGCTGCTTTGAGCAGCTGGACAAAGGCAGCGTTTGTTGCCCTCGCTCGGGCACTTACTGTCCTGTCCCAGTACCATCACTCACTTGACTGAGCGAGACTGCAAGTAAACAAGACAAATCGAATGCTGTGATCGCCCGTGCAGCCTCTTCACAGTCACAGCAGTGTCACCAAACCTTGTAAAGGAAAGCCAAGGAAATGAATGGGTTAGTTTGCTTGAAATAACATTGTGTAACTTTGGCAACAATTTACATTTCCATAACCATCAAACTTGACAGATCCTCATCTACCTCTGTATCAAATATCACAGCTTTCTCTTTTGTGCAATGAAAACATACATTATCATCGGATTCCTCTATGTGCAAAAAGAGATTTTTAAATGCTTTGCTGTTTAAACATTTTATTTGCAATAAATAAATCTGATTCTTCTAGATTCTTTTCTATTTTGCAATCCTGGCATATGTCAGGTTATTTGTGTTTCATACATCTTTTGATACCTTTGAAGGCCTCTGCAGGAAGGATTCAATGAGGGAGTTGCTAACCTGTTATTGTGAAGGGTGAGCTTCGAGAGAGACTCACGAGGATAATAGATAGGCTATCTTCATATGATTTATAGTTCCTCCAGTTTGGTATGATACTGAAATGCTTCTACTGCACATTAATCTTTTTGGTTTGACTGCTCTCATGTACGTTAGACCAAGAATCTTCTCTGTAAAGATCTATGTTGTAATAACTTATATTCAAGTTAGTTTTTTTTACCACATGTAAACACCATCAGCATATATTTGTCTGTTTATTTGTGCACTACTATAATATGTCAAATTTTCTCACCTGATTTGATGAATGAGTATTTTTTATATCTTTTGGGTGTGGTTTTCAGAAAAGCCATTACTGGTTTCTACCACACCCCATACACACACATGCTTTTGCATTGCTTTTACATATTTTATTCTGGAATCCAGTTGGTTTTCTTCACTGACTGTTTTCTGAAGAGCATGTGAGTTCTCCCACTTTAGTGCATGAACCAGGTAACTGGTTGTAAATGTATTTCCCTTTTGATTTGGCTGCCAGAGGTTTTCCAAAAGTCAGTTATAGCAATTGTTTTACCTCACGCCTGTCTTCACAGTTTATATATCGCAACGGAAACAGTTGCATATTTCATAGGGACCAACCTTAACTGTGAACAAGACAAAATAAAACGACACAACTGCGAGGAATCGTATAGAAACCATGTTGAGCACCTCTCATATAAATATGTTGTCTGAGGGGGTCTAATAAGGTCCAACTACAAACTGTCAAACTTATCTCATCGTGCATTCTCAGGGGATGTACCACTTTACATGCAGATACAGTTGATGAACTACTTTTCAGCTTCAGTGAAGCAGCGCACTTCGGATCCAGATGTGCTCCTCTGGCTCCTCGGGTTGGGTCTGTGGAGTGTTCGGGGTACGGGTGCGGGTGAGGGTCACATCTGGACGCTCCCCTGTGCTGCGCGTGGTGATGGGCGTGGCCTCCAGGCTCTGCGGCTGCAGCTGGACGCGGGGCTGAAGCCAGTGCGCATGCCCGAGGCTTCTCGACATGAACGCGGCTTCACGTCTCAAGACATCTCGCGTCCAGGTAAGAGAAACCCTCTCCGTGTCTGGCGACCTCTCCTCCTCCAGCCGCCGGTCTGCGGCGGAGGTGTAGCGGAGGTCGTGTCTTATCGTCCCCGGCTGTGGGTTCAGTGTTTCGAATCCATAACGTCTCATTATTAAAGCTGAAATCTGTCCGCGGTGACAAACTCCCGCAGAACACGTCCCGCGGACTAGATTCATTTGTGGATGGTAGCGTGTATGCTAGCCGGTGTAGCGCTCTTAGCTTGACTGTGTCTCACTGTTTATGTTCCTGTCAGTGTGTTTTCATGTCTGCCTGCTCTTCTGGTTTTCTGGTAAAGGTATCGTTAGCTCCTGACGCTCACTGACAGGAGCAGCCCGGCGGCTAGCTCACGTTAGCAATGCTAACTTGGCAGATTTAATGCTGAATACTGTTTTAGCCGCTGGGCTGCTAATTAACGTGTTAATGAAATGAACGGGAAGTTTGAAGCAGATCCGCTTGCACGTGAAGTCAGTTCGGTGTGCACCTGCAAACACCGCACTGTTACCTGAGGCGACGCGTTAGCCTCCTCGGTGCTAATGTCTGCATCTGCTCATGAGATCAAACTGCAGGTGAACTGAAACTCCCCTGTGACAGCAGCAGATTGTCTCAACCCGAGCTGGACCTGGATCAGATCTAATCAAATGAATCACAGAACACAATCTACACCTCTCACTACAGATGGATTATTGGAGGTAGAGAAAAATACAGGGTGATAGCCCAAGGATGTATACTGTATTTTGCATTATATTATACACAACATAAATGGATTTAAGTAGGAAAATGGTGTGTGTGTATATATTTTGATCATTTTTTTATTTTCGAGGACATTTACTACATATATATATATATAAATAAATACATACATACATGAAAATAGTATACAATATCATATGAATATAAAAATGTAGTAGTAAGTTTCCTTTTCCGGACAATACCTTAAATGTTCAAATGTACAGTAACAATCCTACCAAAAGGTTGTTAAATGATTTTCACATATTTTAAATGTACAACACATCATCGTGAGAGCTGATAAACACTCAGTTACAGTCTGTTCGGTACATCGATACTGTCCTCTGTACAGTATACTGTAGTGAAGACCTAAATACATATGCATTTGCTACATTAGCTAAATAAGCTAAACTCGTTTTAGTATGAACTTGCATAACCTTTGAGGACCCATGTTTGTAGGATGCACAGCTGCTGCTGGGATGTGGCTATGCTGTGCTGCTCTATGGGAGCAGAGATCCACAGATCGGCTGAGAATTACTGCAAATTGTCATCATGAGATAAGTTGACCCAGTTTAAAATTTCATGTAGTGAGGTTTTAGGACTGGCCAGTTCAAGTTAATGGAATGCAACAATAGTAGTCGGGTTTTGCAGATTGCTCAACAGCATTTCAAATTACTTCACTATGCCTGTTTGTGTTAATGATGGGCTGAGTTTCTAAGAAGATAATATATCATTATATTATGGCTTATATTGACTTTCTTTTGTTGGGTCTTAATGGAAGTCTGCTTCAGGTCAGTTGTATCCTCTGTCAATGTTAAAATGTACATTTACATAAACATACTCTCTAAGCAGGATAGGCCGTCTCGCTGTAGATTCACCGTGAACGCATGCATTTTTACATGTCGTCTTCCATGTGACTTGGGGTGCCTTGTGTAATTGTCTGAGGATTTTATGACAGGATACTGCAAATGATCTTTGGACATGCATCTTCTCGTGACTTGTTGAGAAACAATTTAAAATTCTTTTTTGATTGCACAATTAGCACTCTCTGAATAATCTCAGGAAATGCTTCTCCTGTATTTTGTGGATAAGCCGGAAATTGCATGATTACTGCATAATAGTGGCACTTGCTTTAGTATCTATCTTTGCATGGATAATTAAATCAGTTAGAGAAATATTTGTGCATCAGAGGTCATCTGAAGTCGTTTTGTGCTTGTCATAAGGCAGCACCAAGATAGTCTTGCCTTGCATTCCATTCAGGCTACGGATTTATTTGATTTAGTTATCGCTTGAAATGTATGAAATGCATGATGCACATGCTTTTTTTTCAGATCAGAAGATTTTTACTAAATCGTTAATCTGATAAGTAAAATTGGCTAATGTTGTTTTTACAGTACAAATGTACTGTCTCTGCTCTTTGTCGCATCTTTTCCTGAATCCTTTCAAATAGTATAGATATCTATAAAGATGTAATTTTAACCCAAGTCGTGTTATCTCTGACTAATTTCTTATTAGAAAGACTAATAAGAAATTAGTCTTTTTATAAAACTCACAAACAATGACAATTATGACAAAACACATTAATTTTGTCATTTTCCTCTTTGTATTTTTCAGTAAGCAGCATGGGCAGTGAAGAGAAATAGATTTGTTATCTGCTGTGTGGAGGACAGAAGGTTTGTAAAACCCCAGCACAACTCCTCTCTCTCTTCACACCAGTCCAGCAAGTTTCCAGCACCATGGCTGAAGAAGACTATGGCAGCTTTGTGGACTGGAACCAAACGGGGGATCTGGCCAAGAGTGGTGGGCCCACCAAGGTAGACTGCAAAGACCTGAAAGAGTTTAAGCAGATGGCCCGTCAGGGTTACTGGGCCAAAAACCACAAACTACGGGCACAAGTCTACCAGCAGCTTATTAAAGGTATTCCCTGTCGTACAGTCACCCCTGATGCAGAGGTGTATCGTGACATCATGGGAAATTCAGCCACTAAGAAACCTTCCTCCCACATCCCGCTACCAGAGTTTGTGGATGGTATTCCTTTGCCACGGTACTGCCTGAAGTCAGAGGCAGTAGCCTCAGCTCATCAGATTATCAACTGCGTGGCTGGACAGTTTCCAGATATCTCCCACTGCCCGTCACTTCCGGCTGTTACTTCTTTGCTCCTGCACTTCAGTGTGGACGAGGCTCAGTGTTTTGAGCACGTCAGCCGCATACTGGCCTGCAACGAGCCAGGCAAGCGGCTGCTGGACCAGACTTTCCTGGCCTATGAGTCGGGATGCATGACGTTTGGTGACCTGGCCAACAAGTACTGCACAGCTGCCCACAAATTGATCGTAGCCACAGCCCAGGATGTGATGGAAGTCTACTCAGACTGGCAACGCTGGGTGCTTGGAGACCTGCCTTTCAGCCATGTTGTCAGGGTGCTGGACGTCTACCTAGTGGAGGGCTATAAGATTCTCTACCGTGTGGCTATAGCTTTGCTCAAGTTCTACTGTAAGCAGAAAGTGGGAGCCCAAGGGGGCCAGCAGCAGCAGGATTCAAGCAAAGTCAGGGCGGACATTCAAGCTTTCGTCAAGGGCATTGCCTCCACCGTCACACCTGAGAAGCTGCTAGAGAAAGCCTTCTCCATCCGACTGTTTAGCCGCAAGGAGATCACCCTGCTGCAGCTCACAAATGAAAAGTCCTTGCAGCAGAAGGGAATCACTGTCAAACAGAAGCGGTATAGTCAATAATAGTTTTTTTTATGTCATGAAAAATTAGATGTAGTTTATATACCCATATGTCTATTACTCTTGGGCAATTTTCTTTTCTGCTTCTTATTGGTGCATTCTTTGGGGAATGGTTGAAGTTGTTCTTGCATCCTTGTCTCACATCATGTTCTTGTTTCCATGTTGTTTGGTCTGTGCCACACTTTTCCATCCACCATCTTGTCTCGTCTGCACTCCACTCCTGTGTTCACTGCTTTGGTTCATTTACAGTTCTAGGTGGGTTCTCTTCTCTTCTCTGTGCCTCTCTCCGGATCTATTTCTATTTTTTTGCCAAATAGTCACTTTCTTTCAGAATAAGTATGGTCAGTTTCAGTAGACTCTTACATGTAATATATAAATATAGATACATTCACACCAGCATCTGCTTCAAAGGTTTATACGTCACCAACCATTGGATCTTTCTCTCATTCGCTACCTCTTCATCTCCCTGTATCTGTATGTATTGGGGGCGTCTCCAGGCGGAACGTGCAGCTGGCCCTTAACCCAGACACCTTCTCCTCTGAGATCGTCAGCGCCAAGGAAATGCGAGACATCTGGTCGTGGATCCCTGAGCGCTTTGCCCTGTGTCAACCACAACTCCTCTTCACCACCTCCACTCATGGTTGCAGCCTGAACAGGTATTCTCTCCAACACTTACCCCGATACAAATAATGCAGCTTTTGACTACTGCGCTAAACTTCAGGTCTCAGGCCCTGTTTAGCATGTTGTGTTGCTTTATGTAGTTCATCAAATATGTTTTGTCTTTGGATTCAGTTTGAGGAATTGCTTTCAGTTAGTTGCAATGAATTAAACATTCACATTTTCCTCCAGATTCTACTCACATTGTGAAGGCTATGAACCCACTCTGCTCCTCATTCGGACCACCGATGGTGACGTGAGTAATACACACATTATTATTGATTATAAAGACACAGACTTGGGATATGATAACAACCTGATATCATCACATCAGATATTTGTCTGAATATTGATGCAGCTCAGATCAGTAAGCCATCGCCATGTTAAGGTTTAAACCTCCACCAACCTTCTAATTGTATGAATTTTGAAGTATTTTAGATAATAAAGCCGATGCACACGAGCAAATCAAACAGATTGACTCTAACTGTGCTTATTCCTTTTCTTCCTTCAGGTATGTGGAGCCTTCCTATCCACAGACTGGGAGGAGCGGAAGAGAGGAGGCAACAAATTGAGTTTCTTTGGCACAGGGGAATGCTTCGTCTTTAGGGTCAGTTTATTTTACTATCCTGACTCAAGAGCTTGCATTCAGCAGTAAATAAATCCTTCCTTTATTAGGTGAATTTCAGGAAGCACTTAAGTGATCCAATGGAGTCAAATGTCATTTCTGAGCAGTACCACTTTGTAACCACCAGAGGGTACCATCCACTCTGGTTTCCTGTGTTCTTGAGGGAGTGTCTCTGGCCTCAAGCAGCATCCGAGGCTCCCATTAGAAAAGCCTGCCTTGTGGGTCACAGTTCAGCGTACCGGCTTTTCCTCGTTTCCCTCTGTTAAAACAGCCTCACATTAACTTTTATTTGCTTTTGAAAGAGCAGCTTTGAGCTTTAGTTTTAACAACACCTGGGTTAGACTGGATCTCCTTTAGTTACTTGTGTGTTTGAGTTGATGCACAGCAGTGGGCTGTCTGAGCCTGCACACCAGAAAACTCCATCATCTCACACACTAATACTTAAAGAAACACACACATCGGAAACTCCTGTAATCTGATCTAGTCTGCAGCTGACAGGGGCTTCACCTGACACCACACCTGACACACAAGAGTCAGGGAGCAGGGAATCATGTCCATCAGATGTGCGGTGGAGGGTTGGAGAGGGTGAGGGGGGATTTAATGGCATATATTCTTTGAATTGATAAAATAGTAGCTAGGTTATAGTATTTTTTTAAGTATTTCTTTTGTGAATACATTTGCAATACTATTGTATTTCCTCCGCCAAGAAGGTTTTCTTTTCATCAGTGTTAGGATTATGCAAAACTGTATAATCCGATCTCCATGAAATTTTGAGGAAGAGCGGATTATAATCCAAGGAAGAACCTAAAATTTCTTCATTAAATCCAGATAAACAAACAGATCAAGATTTTTTTTTAACATGGCAAGATAGGGCCTTGGCAGAGGAACACCCTTTTAGTTTAATGTGTGATGCCCAGGAGTGTAATTTGATGATGTATGCCGTGCAGTAGAAGTCACTTCTTTGTTTCCCTTGTTAGTTGAAGCCAGAGATTGAGCGCTATGAGTGGGTGGTGATCCGCCACCCGGAGCTGGCCTCCTCCATCAGGGTGCAGGGTGAAGACGACACAGCGTCCTCTGAGGGCCAGAACTCTGACAACAACAGCTTACAGCAGCCACAGAAACCTGCAGGAGAACTGTCGCCCTTCCTCTCCGCTCGCCACTTCAACCTTAACTCCAAGAATACTTCCATGTTCATGGCTGGAAACTTTGACTCCATCATCATAGGTGAGTGGATTGTTACAGCGTCTTACTACTGTGTATTTTGCATTTTCGGTTTGTACTTTCAGGTGTGAAAATGTCCTCAGTTACATCGTTGAGTTGAGGAGAATTCTTCCATTGTCGACTAAAACATAAAAAATACAGTAAATGTTGGATTTTAGCTTTTCCTTCCACTACATGTTGATATAACAGTGTACTATTTGTTTTAGGTTTAGATAATTAGCAGAAACGCAACATTTGTACTCTGTTGCTTTTGACTTCCACATATTCTGTGCTCTTATGTTTGACCAGGGGGAGGTGAAGGCAACGCTCTTTACATTGACTCAGAACTGAACCATGGGCGCACTGGCAGATGTACCACCTTTGACAACCCGCCCCTGTGTGCAGAGAGCTTCCAAGTTTCACTGCTGGAAGTTTGGGGTTTCCAGGATGCCATGGCTTCATAATGCTGCACAAACACACACACACAAGCTACTCATTCATATTGATCCATACATCTCACACACGTGGATACATAGGTGCATAAATCATGATTATGTCCAGCAGTATTTGAGGTGGAAAGCCCATATATGTAAACAGAACTACATCCGTCCTACAAATTCATATATGATTAATTATTTTTTATTTATTATCGCAGGTAATCCAAATTCAACATGTGAAAAAAAAGTGATATTTTTGTCTGGTTTTGTGTTTATTTTTGTATTTACAGATTTGTATTATTGTATACTAATTTGAAGTGTGCAGTCATATGAATAAGGTTTTTAGATCAACTCTATATAAAGGTTAATCTAGATGTTTTTCTATGTCGGCTGTGTATTCATGTTGATTCTGAGCAACAATGTTTTAATTTTTGAATGTAAATTCAGTACTTTTTATTCTGTGGTGAAGCTCATTCTGCCAAATTAACGTTCAGCTATCTCTTATAGTCCTTAAGAATATCATTAACCAGATCATATTGAGAAAATATGTGAAGTCAAGTCAGTAAATTTGATGATAAGTGTTTTTAAATGTTGAAACAATAAGATGTAGTAAACTTGTACCAGGGCAGCTTTTAGCCAAGTCGGGTTGCATTTCACCACACGTTGATTTATTGTACAGACATTATGTGGGAGATCTCCTAAATGAATTAGCGTGGTTAATGTTTGTGGATGTCAGTGGTGAGTTTGAGTGTCGCCATTTTGCACCATATGTGAAAGTTTTCTTTTGAATGAGTGGCAGTCTCTCCTTTGTTTAGAACAAGAATAATGACGTGAATAACAGTACAGTCTTTTTAAAAATCGAGGTGTTATTGGTTTACAAGCAATTAAGATAAATGCAGTTTGCTCATCCTTGTCCTCTTTTTACCCTTTTCCCTGTTACCTCCGTCCTTTTCCCTTGTGCAAATAGTAACACAAGTCCAAATCTGTGCACTGTTGGAGTTAAACAGCCTATTTGTATTTCTATGTTCAAATATGTGCTCCAGTGAAACATCAATCGATGTGTTCTACATGTGAAAATACAGCAATACGCTTTCAGTAGAGTGACTTGTCTTTGTTTCATTGTCTCACTTTACTTGTTTTTTTCTCCCGCGTATATCACATCTCTGTCGCTGCAGAGAGAGGGTTACATTTCTTCAGACTGTTGCAGAAATGTGCCAGATGCCTCTTCAGGTCAGCTGACCATGAATCTTGCCCTCTAACCCTCTAATCCCCATCTTCTTGTGTTACAGTTAGCATATCTGGTCCCAAAATGACTCGTCTATTTATATCTTAATACAGAAATTACTGTTTTATTTTTAATTGTAGTCAAAACCATGTCATACATGCTGCGATTTCATGGCTCCTTGAAAAATATGTTTTTTTTTAAAAAGAAAACATTACATATAGCTGCAGCATTATAACAGTTTTTGAGTTTCAGAAAGCTTTAAGATCTAATTTATCAGATGAATGAGATGTTGTAAATGTCATATGACCTATATGGGTTAAAAACACTCAGTGACTGCTGCATTACTCACACACACTTCTTGAGCAGACCCTGACTATTTTAGTTTGAACGTCTTGTGCACATCTCTTACTTTGTGGAAGCTGACAGTGAGCTGCATGAGCGGAAAATATTGAGCAGAAATGAGTCAAATGCACCAACAAATACATCCATAAAAGCCGTCTGCCTTTCGCCAGCTGTCTTATAGAACACCCACGTCACAGACACTGCATTTGTTATAAATCTGTCTGTGCTAATGCATCAAAGCGCTATAGCCAATTCATTTGCAGTGGGTGTGGCTCGGCCTAATGTATGAAAATAAATGAAGTATCTTGGATAGCAAAGTGCTGTAGTAATTCCCTCTTGCAGTACAGTAAGTGGCATTGACTCCATCTAGCCATGGCTGTGCTGTTCATTCAGGATTCACACTCAGCTTATCGCACATGCACTTCTATATTTAGCTGCTCCTTTGGGTGTTGGTCTGGCGCATCTCCTGAAAACCACGCTTTCCAGCCTCAAGGAGTAAGATGCTTAAGTGTTTAACCCGACACTGAGGTGGGTCTGTGCCTGACCAGCCCCCACCCCTCAGATAACAAGGGGGCTGTGGACAGGGGGATTAAGACGTAGACTACAAGGAGGATCCTGACATATTGTTTGGATTCACTGACTGAATATTGCAATATAGAGGAGGGTGTATCTTCCAGTCACTGGATTCATGTCACAAACCTGAAGGACTGAACCGTAGATGTCCTGTAGAATTCATGATCATCAAGCAAGGTGGGGTTTTAATATAGGATTTAAGATTTCCCACAATATCGGTATTTTTTTAAATGACTGGAAAATTAAAAGTTCAAACCTGAGATTATCAGCTCTGTGACACCGTTTATTCTTATATCCTGTTATGTACACAGAGTGGAAGTGTGTGTAGAAAAGTAATCTGTTCTGATCATATTTCACAATATCACAACCACTGAAAAATGATGGAACCACAGTAGATGAATATCTTTAGTCCAGATCTACACTGTACTCTTCATAATAAATTATTCTATATAGAACATCTTCAGTATATTGATTGAATAATGTTCTGCTGAGAATTCATCATAGTTCCTAGTTTTCCCTTCCTCAAACAATGTCAGCAAGACCAGCTGTCAAAATGTCTGCTCTCATATCCTCCACTTATAACAACTCATTGATTTAATAACCTGCAAGGACAAGAGCATCCACCTTACCCGTCCACCCAAAACAAACAGGAAACAACAACGTGTAGGTGCACAGGCTATCTTATTACTGCAAATGAGCTGGTTGCTAATGTCTGTTGAGTGTAATTCCCAGATAGGACCATCGCAACCAAGCATGTGTAGAAAGGCTGCATTCATATCCCGAAGGAGTCCTGGATCAATACACATTCATTCAGAGGAGAAAGAGAAAATGAAGTGAAAATCACTTATTCATTTCTGGCCTCTTTGTTTTGAGAGCATCACTGCACACACACACACACACACACACACACATCATCCCTGCTTCAACCTTTGCATTTGGCAGCTGGAGAGAGAGGTTGGCCTGAGTGTCTGAAAAGGAAGAAGGCTGTGATGCTGGTGTACAGACTGCATCTTGAGTGAAGAGGCTTTACAGTGACTTGGGGGAGGGGTCCTTCCCTGGTCCTGACTGGCCTGGGCAATGGAGAGAGAGAGAGAGTGAGAGAGAGAGAGAAGGCATGATGGAGGGATAGATGGAAGAGGAGGGAGAGGAGGAGGAGGAGGAGGCATGGGGATGGCACGAGCTCTGCCTTTCTGCATGCACGCTTCTTCTCCTCCCTCCACGGTGTCCTATAGCTCTCTCCACCACCCCCTCCTCTGTGTGGATCTCCCACCCTGCAGCTGGGAGCTGTACAGTGGGATGGGGAGGTTGGATTCTCGGCTCCCTACCCCCACACACACACACTCAACCGTACACACTAAGGCTCGAATTCTCTCACTCACTGCTGCATCACATCACAGCTGACTGTGAAGCACCACATGCTGCATGGTAGAGTCCTGGTGCAAAATGCAGAAATGTAACAAGCAACATCAGGAATTTCAACATTTGGGGATTTCACTTTAATCAACTGTCTTGCATCATAAATTAACTTTGAAGCATTTCTTCACTTGAAAGAATCAGTGTCTTCATGTTCTCATAGATGAAGACAAACACAACGTGTCTCTGGGCTTGTCTCATTTGTCCCCATCATGTGGACCCCCTGCTTCTGAAGGGAGAGCCTGCAGCGGAGCATACCACCGCGATGTCTGATAGGGGTGACCTTCAAAAACACAAAACCAGGAACTATGAACAAAAACTGAAAAACACTCCCCTTGTACGCAGCCGTTGTTTTATAAGCACGATGTTCATCATTGAGTATAATCAATGAGCTCTGTTTGGGCGTCTCCTCCCCACGAACACGCCCGGCCGATGATAGGTCTCCTCCGTACGGCCGGTCAGGTGACTTTTTCCGCTTCGCCATTTTGTGCCGCTGCGCCGGGTATTTATCGGAAGAGTCGTGACTCGCTCGTTTACACTGTTAAGAGGCGTCAGACGGTTTCCCTCCGCAACTCCAGACTGTGGCCTTCGACACCTTTTTAAGCCAAGTGCGATTCTCCTCGGACCCGCCATTAACGATTAATCTTTTGTACACTTAGTTTATTTTTTTATACCGAGCGAGGAAGAATGTCGGCCGAAGCCCCCGAGTACTCTCCGTTCTTCGCAGTGATGGGTGCCTCTGCAGCCATGGTGTTCAGCGGTAATTATCACAACACGACCACCTCTTGTGTCTGCGCTGTGTGTTAAATACAAAATGTCGCTGTGTGCAAACCCTCTGCTCATCCTCACCTCTGCTCGTGCCTCGACTTGTCACCCACGGTGCATTGGAGCTGAACGCCACCCGCTAGCTTTGCTAAGGTTAACGTCGCGATGTTAATCTCGAGCTGTCATTTATTCAGACGTAGCTGGCGATGCTAACGACCTGTGGTTGAGTTTGTATTTTCTAGTGTGTATTTAACATTAGCTCGATAGCGGGTGTCAGTCCTTCTACTTCAATACCTGGCAGTAAAGACCACTCCAGGCTAGTTAGCTAGCTAGCTGATGACGACTACATAAGTTAGCTTGGACTGTAGCCTAAATCCGTTGTGCACAGGTTCGATGCTGTATTTGAACGGAAATGACAAAACAGTAACTCAATCGAAATGATCAGATTGTTCTATCATGTTGTGGTTATAGCAGTATCTGAAGCTTTACAGGCTCGAAATGTCTTTCTCTCCCCCCCCCCCCACACACACACAGCTAGCTGCGTGTTAGCTTGGTGCACTTAGCAGATGAGATGGGCTGAATTCCACATTTTCTGCAAAATCCCAACCACACTTCTGCATGCAGAATTTTGATTTTTAAAATCAAAAGTTGTTGGCTTTCATGCGATATTATGTACATTATGCAGATTGAATGTAGAAACCATTAACCAGTGATGAAATGAGTTGACATCCTTCAGCATAAACTGTTCTGCAATTGTTCAATAATTGATTTTCTGTCATGTCAGTGATGATCACATGATAAAAACCTATTTTTCTTACAACCTAAATGACTGGAAACCAGGATCAGCAAGTGAACTTCCTTATTGTTCAAAGGAATGACACAAGGTCACATGATTATCACATGATGAGACGTCTGACTAGGAATTGCCTCTTGTTACTGATCTGGAGCAATATAAATGTAAAAAGTGAACAATTTGTATTTCTGTTTAACAAAAGTGCGGCTCATTTTACAGAAGATTAAGAGTTTAACATCAATGTTGCTATCAGAGTTTATAGATGGTAAATGGGATGTGGCACAAAACGTGCACTTTGAGAATGGTTACTTTCATAATTGGTCATACTGGTTTTGGATCCGTTTTCTAGTTTCTTTCTTTCCTTATTTCAAGGTAGGCCCCACATCATGTGTCATTTTGCACTGCAACCAAGAAAAGCCAGATTGAGTTCACTGGTGGGATGGGTGCCGCTACAATGGGCAATCAATAGGCTACTAATTGACAGTTTTACAGTTTGACCCACTGTAGCTCGAGGCCTTTAGGTACAACTGGCTAATTTCTGGACGAGAGTTATATGTAGGTTTTCACCGTCCACTGAATTGCAACAGTCAGCATAAGAGTGTTGGCAATGTTTTAACACATCTTTTCACAAATCACATTGTGCTATGTGCTAATCAGAATTTTTCAAGATGGAGATTTCAATTACATTTAACAAAAATCTAAACACAATATGCAAGGTCTTTAAAATTGTATGTGTAAGTATTACAAATCACATTGTCGATTAGAAACTTAACAGTACATTCAGCATTCACTGAGCAAATCATATCCAGCTTGGTTTGGTTCAAGTTCACAACTCAGTATCTGGTATGTCCACTATATTCCACTAGCATTCTGAAGTGCATCACATGCGAGCAGATGATACATAGCGCTGCCAGAATCATGGAAAGAACTTAGATGGTTGAATGATGGGCATTCAGTAATTCAAACTGTGCTCTATTTGGCATTTTTGCAATCAGCATGTAAACTACATGCTCCTCGTGGCTAAGAACATCTGTGGCATTTTGACATTTACAAAATCTTTTTAGTGGTCTTTTATTATGACCAGCACAAACCACACTTGTACAAAACTGTTATAATCATCTTGATATGGATTATATTGTCACTAAATTAAACAAAGTTCTGAATAGAATTGCTGAATTGGCCCCTTTAGTAGAAAAAATCATAATTTAAAATGGAAGCAGAAAGAAAAGTGTTGCATTTATATTTTTTTTATAAGATTTTGAGAAATCTATCTTAAGTTATCCAAATAAGGTATCACATTTCACGATATAAAAATCTTCAATGATAAAACAATAAGATTTAATTTTATCCAACATTACCCGACAGCTGGATGCCAAAGCCAGCCCTGTTCTTGTCAGCTCTGTTTTACTGTCTAGCGATGGGCAAGGGAAGCATGATGGTGGCGGCGTCCCCTGAGGTCAACAGTAGTACTGGTCTGCGGTGGTGAAGGAGTGACAGCTGGGGAATTAGCTAGTAAGGAAGGGATCATGCTGGCACAAAGAAGGGATGTGGAGGTGGTGGGATGGATGCGGACACTTGATGATTCAGGCTTCAGCTCGTTAGAATCAATGTTACAGTGTGTTGTGAAGTCACTGACACACAGTTGTACCTTGTGCTCCTGTAACATCAGCCTGACACAAGCTGAGGGAGTATGACAGCGAATTAGAGGTCACTACTGTCAGTCAATCAATGACACTTAACATTCCTAATTCTGATAATGGGGGGGGGGTAATTTAAAGAAATTGGTCTGTTTTCTGGAGCAGACTGTAAATTGCCGTGATCCTCTGGTGTCAGGTGATCTAGCATTGTTTTACTCGTCTGGTGACCGTTGTGAGGGTCACAAGGTGTTATTACCCATCACCACTCCCATGATAGCTGTGCTGGAGTTTGTGTGATACCCTTCTCTGCCAGGAAGAGTTCAAATATAAAGGAGCCTTATATCCTGGATAAACAACCTGATAAATGTGTGTTCACTGCGATGTGTGTGTGCTTTTCCAGACATTGCAGATAAATACGATACTTGACATTTGTCCCCACAAATTAATTTTTTGAGGCAGTTATTTCTATTATACTTTCAGTTACTTGAAGAGTTGTACTCGGTGATGGCAGCATATATGTCCGACATCCCTGAGATTCAGATACAATAGATTTTGTCGCTGTGTATGCAGCCTCATATTTTACACATACAACTAACCTGCTATTTTGTAAGACTGGAAATTGTTTAATCCCTGAGAGCTTCCTGATTTTTTTTTTTTTTTTTTTTTTTTCCTTAAAACCAGTGCTTCCTCATTCACTCACTACCCAGAGCAAGTCATTCTCCTTTCTGTTGCGTGGGCATTTTGCGCGCAAGTTCCCCCCTAGCTAGAGGCACCGCCTGCTCTGACATCACATGGCGTCACAAGGGCATCCCATACATCAAATATTCTGCTGGGAAGGGACAAAGAAAAGGGGGTAAAAAGCTCTTTACCTAAGCTGAGGGATTAGGATTAAAACCCAGAGGTTGTGCCTCCACACTACTGCAGATGCCGCCCTGCCACAACATCAAACCTTTAATCATCATGCATGGTAGTGTAAGAGTCTCTCTCAGTCCTCACCTGTCACACATCAGTGAGGATAACATTTCTGTAGGTAATTTATAAAGAAAGGATGGCTAGATGACTAGAACAGCTCTGAACAGTGGACAACTTGGATGTTGCTAGAATATTATTCTAAAGAAATTCTACCGCTTAATGAGAAGGTGTGTTTTTGGGTCTTGGTCAGTTTTTATATTGAATTGCAAAGGTAGATTTGTGATCTCCGTGCAGTCAGTTTGCTTGTTGCAATGTACCATATAATGTAGGTTTTGACCATTTAGTCTATGAGCAATTTTCCACAAAGTGAAAACAAAATGATTTAGTAGAGTTGTTCTGATAACATTTCCCCTTCCCAATACTTGGACATTCAGTAATAGAATACAGTCCATTTAAAAAAAAAAAAAGATAATTTATATAGCATATTTTAACAGCTACTAACCCTGTATGTAAGTGATGGTTGCTATGATAGTTGTTTAGCCTTGCTCAGGCTGAATTCTGTGAAAAATACACAAGCGATTTCCGAATTATCTGGGTGGAACAAATATACTTCCCAAATGTTGTACTGAATTATTAGACACATTTGCATAATCGCTGACATTTGAAGAATGACCGCATTATCGTCTTTTGTGCCTTTACATTGACAAGGCATCTCAGCTGGACTTGGAATTAACCAGAAAAAACTCAGGCTTGCTCAACACATTCTCCCCCCAAAAAAATACACAGGGCAGGGTACCTGAGGCTGTGTGGACAAGTCAGCCAAGATGATATCTCGAGAGACATTTCAGGTTTAATCTTTGTTTGTTAGTTATAAAAAGCCAAGATTGCTTTACAAGAATTTATTCTATTATGTATGATTTAGTGGTTGTTGTACGCAGCCACTTTGACGTCCATTCACAAGTGACATAGTAACAGCTAGACATGAAATGTTTTGCCTGTGCGATGGAGGACCCGCAGAGGACGGAGGCTATATTTAGCATTAACGCAGCATCTACAAAACTGAAAACGGGGAAACATCTTGGACTCTCTGAGAATAATCCGCATGTGCTCCATAGCGGAAGTGCTGCCAAAATGATGACCGTTTAATAAATGTGTGCGGACCAATACATTCGATTCTGTGGTCAGTGTAATCTCCGAGCTTTCCTTTTATCTTGTGGGTGATGGAATAAACACGTTCACATTTAAACACACATGCACACACCCCCCTCTGGCATGGAAATATTTAGTCTAACACGCCTGTGTCTGATTCATGACACACTGCCTCGCTCTGACAGTCGTCATCGTTCTTTGCTCGAGATTCTCTTTTCACCTGGAAGCTGTTCAAATGTTTTGTTGCTGTGCAGATTTACAACCAGTTCTTGATTGATGGTTGCTGTTCTATATCTGTTCATATATAATTTTATAATGGAGCAGAGGCATTATTGATTTTCTCATTCACTCTCCTCCTCGTGTGTGTGTGACGTAGGAGGCACTGCATTTTCTCCTCAGCGTCAACGGCCAACAAAGCGAACATGCTGATGATGCTTTTTGCAACTTCTCCTTCCCCGTCACATTGCAGTGAGACTAGTGCGGACTGGATATAGAACACAGCAGATGTTGCACGATTGTGTTGTGCTAGTCCTTCCCTGGTACCTATCCCTTACTAGATCTGAATCTGGAGACGTGTATCCTGCTTCTCTTGTGACGTCAGCGTGTGCTGAGGCCTAATGGGGCTTTTTCATTCATTCAGTCACTTGCAGCCCTGCAGCAGGGTCAATTGTGAAATGTAATTAGCTGATGCAGTTTAATATAATGAGGCACAAACTGTGACACTGCAGATTTTTTTAGGGTACATCGTGTTTCTGTTGGTTGAAGAGGACCTGATCTGGAATTTCCATTCTAACACCAGCAAAATTTCCCAAGTCGAGCCCTATTGCATTTTTAGAGGGAACAAAAACTGTGTGGTTGCTTCATTTCTTATCTCACTTCTGCCTCGTTTTGGTTTCTTTTGTCGCTCATGATTAACTGAAATTGTGTTCTGTCTCTCTTCCCAACCAGCCTTGGGAGCAGCCTATGGCACAGCTAAGAGCGGTACAGGAATTGCCGCCATGTCCGTGATGAGGCCGGAGCTCATCATGAAGTCCATCATCCCCGTGGTCATGGCGGGTATCATAGCCATCTACGGCCTGGTAGTAGCAGTGCTGATTGCCAACAACATCTCAGAGAAGGTCACCCTCTACAAGTGAGTTGGATAATAGGTTACATTTTTACTCTTTTATTTGAATTGTCAACACAAACCACAGTTTTGCCTTCACAAGCAAATTAGAATTCTAAAGCAGTGGTGATGTGGCACTATTCCAGATTTCTATGAGTCATAAATGTCATTTAATATCAACACTTATAAGTTAGCTCTGTGTTGTCATAGCTTTGAAGTAGCTCCATTAATGTTAAACAGTTGAACATGTAACCATCATACTGTTGTTCTGAATAACATAGTTGTTCATTACAATGAACACAGCCAGAGTGGTTAAACCACTCAGCCACCGCCATTTCACTCTGGTCACATCACTGCATGTGGTCACGGCATTCCTACGTCAACACTGGTCACAGTTTAACAACATGATCAAAGTGCACTTCCATAAAATATATAAACATTGACGACCCATTTCCACTTCTTCCCACTATCCAGACATGAAGCCAAGATATCCCAGATACGATACCATCTTGTACATTTTGAGCCTACCCATTAGAGATTGGGGGATGGAGCCGTGGTCGTGCGGCACCGTCGATACACACGTTAAACCAATCTCAGCTGTCAATCATGACATCTCCCTGTTATTATAGCATCAAATAACTAATTAAAAACAAACTTAATAGAAAATTAACACTTGAACAGACACCAGTGTGATAAGAACTAACTACAATGACTTTCACATGTTTAAACTATCCCTGTTGTTCAAATTGATAATCCAGTTCACTTGATCTCTGACCAACATCCTTGTCCATGTGTCTCCAGGAGTTTCCTTCATCTGGGAGCTGGGTTGAGTGTGGGCCTCAGTGGACTGGCGGCAGGCTTCGCAATCGGCATCGTTGGTGACGCAGGTGTTAGAGGCACAGCTCAGCAGCCAAGGCTTTTTGTGGGCATGATCCTCATCTTGATTTTTGCTGAGGTCTTGGGTCTCTACGGTCTCATCGTTGCCCTCATTCTCTCCACGAAATAAACACCCAAACATCTCCACTAAAAGATCTGTCCTTTATGTTGCTGCTGGAGAAAGTGTAAAATGGGGGGGAATTGTAAAAAAAATTCTGCCACACAAGATGAAAGAAGTGAACGTGGAGAAAAATGAATTAAAACGGCTCCGTAAATATGGTCTTATCTCAACAATATGTACAGTCGTCCCAATTTGATAGTCAACTTGTAAATGCGCAATGTAGTGATTTGTCTGTCTTGTGTGTGCGTGTGCGTGTGTTTGTTTCAAAAACAAATTGATGAAGATTCCTTTTTTTTCCCTCCACTTATTTCAGGCCACGAGGCTGGCTGAGGTAGCTCGGCCTCCAGGTCTTAGAGCTGACCAAAGGGCCACACAGCTTTTCCTCCTCCCATATTGACTTGGGAGTTGTCACAATTTCTGCATTAATCTTGAGGATCTATTTGTAAAGAGAAATGTGTATGGACTAAAGATTTTTTTCCACTGATTTTATTTATATAAGAAATTGTTCGTTGAACTGTTTAATGCAGCAAGTCTTTAATCCCCAGGATATATTATACATATATATATATATATACAGACAGACAAATGAATATCTATATAGATAGATTTAATGCACTGTGGGTTAATTGTGATAAGTGGTTGGAATTCCTCTGGATGTAATTCTTGGTTTAATAAGATTGCCTTTAGTATGTTGCTGGTGGAGTGGGAGTTTTATGTGTAGCTGTATTCTAATCATTACGCAAACTTTCTCAAACTTCAGTGTTTTTCCTGTAGTACTGCTGTTTGCATTAAAGGTGTGTGTGTGCCCCATGTTGGGTCTCACAAGTGTAATTTCCCAAAAAAAATCCATCTTCTCTCCATCTTCTTCACCCCCCCCACTCATCTATGGCTGTACTTCCATCTCTTCCACATTCCAGCCATTCAAAGTCCTGCATGGGTTTCAGTGTTCTGTTGCTGTTGGATATGACGCTGGCGAGCAGGCTACTTTCAGAAGATTTATTCCAGATCAAGAAGCTACTTTCTTGTGTAGTTCCTGCTCAAACAAACATGTATGTGTGTAAATGATGCAAGATGACTTGATGGTATCATTGGTGAGATTAATGAGTTTGGCCTGAATTCACGTAACAATGGGTCAGATTTGATCTGGAGTGAGTTTTCTGAGAATGGAGCTGCTGCTGATGTGTTTTCCTTAAGCACCAATCTCCAACCCTGTATTACCACTGGTATTGAAGTTATCCTGATATGTCGATGTGAATGTTTTCACAATCGAATTAAAGAAGATTCCAACTTAGAGTTGACTGGCTTCCAAAAATATAGTTTAGTACTGCACATCTCACTGTGACACATTTAAGTACTGTACCAGCAGCTGAGGGGGTTTATTTAGGACATTACTGAAGTACTTCCTTAAAATTGCTGTACAATATTAATCTCCTGTGAAAGCTGGTTAATGCAGCACTGAATGAGAACTGCACACAGGCAGGTAGATTGTTTTTTTAATGTTTGACTGTACAGGAAAAGTGCAACATAGAAAAATGACATATAACACAACTCAGCCTTATACAAGTTACAAAGCCTATGTACTGACGTCGGTCGGATCCAGATATGTAAACATGTCTCAAGCTGTTTGGAGACTGTCGAGCAGAGTCTGTGTGATGCTGCTGATGGCACTGAAGGTGGCGCTGTCGGGGAATGACTGTGTGAAATCTTTGCCTTCCTCTATGCTGCTGCTGAGCAGAGGATCCAAGGGCACCGCACCTGAAACGGAGAAGATGAGTGTTGATTACTAAGCTTATGTATTATCCAAATAACGGCACCGCAGTACTTTTAAAATATCACATCTGATACTTAACTGAGAAATGAGCAGTATTAAGTGATGCCACAATCAATGATTACCAATAGGGAAAATCTAAAAGACCATTGGACATCGTACAGTTTCCTTTGCTGGCTAAAGCGATGTAGCAGTGGCAGATGCAGTCTCACCGCCACAGGCTGAGCTGAATTAGCCGCATCATTACTCCAGAAATTGATCTCCACACAAAGCCGATAACCATTGAGGGAAACCGTAAAAAAAAGTCTATTGGTTTGACCGAGACTTATTGATTAATGCGTATTTTCTTTTCCTCTTTTAAATCTGCTGCTGCACTGAAATCAACATCGACCATTTTGGCAGCACAGCAGTGATGAATGGTGGCTGAGGAGTGATCCACACTCACTGTGTTGTGACACCATGTGGCTGCAAGCTGATATTACATGTCATTCTATCTTAATGATCTTACCAAGGAATACTGATCCGGTCAGTTTGGCCAGTTCTTCACCACCACCCTTTGAGAATATATTGCTGCATTCCTGAAAACACAGAATAGTAAATAAAATTGATGCACAAACCATATAATATCATACAGACATAACAGGCAGTGGATTTGTAATTATCTTTATATACTTGAACTAAACCTGAGTATGCTTTCAGACAAACACAAATGTCAGAGTCAGTTGCTCTGGATATCTATCTTCATAAGCAGATATTGGTATTTCATGTCTGAGCTGCCCAATCGATGCTATGAAAGTTTACTTACGGAGCAGTGAGGACAAACAAAGCCACTCATGTTCTCTATGATGCCCAGGATTCGTACGCCCGTCTTCTTACAGAACGTGATCTCTCTCCTCACATCCCCCGTCGATACAGCCTGAAGCAAACACCAGACCAGCAATGACAATTTCCACTCAATTACAGGCATCTCAGGGAGTCTGAATAGTTGTAAACTAGTTATAAACACAGGTAATATGTGGTGACACTCGACTGTTTTGACTGATAATGGTTCTAAGGGGGTATTCATGTAATGCACATTTGTAAGATGCTGGATTTTTGCAGTAATAAAAATCGGCATTTAAACATGACGATGCACTGTCAGTAAATAGTTAAGGTTTTGTCTGCACTGGTCAACTTGTGCGTACCTGTGGTGTTGTGACCAAAACGGCTCCATCCACTCTGTGTTTCTTAAGGTTCTCCAGTACAGCCAAATGCTCGTCAGACGTCCCAGGCGGCGTGTCCACCAGCAGCACGTCCAGCTCCCCCCACGCTACGTCTGACACGAACTGGCCAATCAAAGCTGCAGAACAGGACATTCAGAGATATTAACTCTGGAGCAGAAGAGCATGACATCAAGTTCAAGTGCAAGGCGTGCAGCGCAGGACTCAAGTAGAGAGATACAGAATATCATGCTGGTGATTTGATTTACAACTCTTCCAAGAGTAAAAAGTTAATTGTGTAAATAAATAAGTGTTGCTCTCATGTTAAATCCACTAAATTGTGCCACAGCTCAGTAGTGGAGTTTAGAACTGGAGCCTGACTGATATGGATTTTTGTAGGATGCAGATATATATATTTCAAAAAATCAATTCATATGATGTCGTTATCAAACCCTTTTACAGCGAAATAAAAAAAACACATTTATGTCTCAAAGTGGCCCATACCAGCAAACATAAGAAACAACTACCAATATGTCTGTAAAAGGATTATATCGACCGATATCAGATACTGGAGAACATCCCACCTGTCTTCTTGGGCCCCCTCCACACCACTGCTTCATCTGGGTCGTCCAGGAGGAAGCCGATGGACATGAGAGCGAGGCTCTTCTGGGCGTCGGTGTAGACCGGCACCCAGCCTGAGTCACACTGGTGCACATCAGGCCGGCCCACCCCCAGCATGCGGGGGATACTGGGCCCACAGAGGTCAATGTCCAGGATGCCGACCTGATGATGATGATGATGATGATGATGAAGGTGAAGGTGGTTTGTATGAACACAAGTCAGGAATATTGTGCAGAATTATACAAATCTGTAAAAATACTCAGAGCAGAATGACAGTTGCTTAAAGGGATAGTTCACCCAAAAATGAAAAATAATTAACCTTACTCACCACTATCATTTTTCAGTGAACTATCCCTTTAGTGGGAACTAATGAATGGACTTCAATACACTGTGTATATATATATATATACTTTATAATCCGCTGTAGCATTATTCATGTTTGTGTTCCAGCCTCTCTCTCTATCACCTTCTTGCCAGCGTGTCTGAGAGCCAGGGCCAACTCTGCGGTGATGGTGCTCTTCCCCACGCCTCCCTTCCCTGACAGGACCAACACCACGTGTCGAACCTGGGCCAGACTCCCGTCTCCTGTGGGAGAGAGACAAACATGCTGAGTCACGGTTCGTCCTCCTCTGTAAATGGCGCTCTGAGCAGTGGATGTTATCAGGTCACAGGTTGGACACAGTGAGCAGGTCAGAGCTGTTATGAACTGAGGTCATTGTTGCTGTGTCACAGCTCCAGATTACAAACAGTCGCTTCTCTGATGATTAGCTATTTATCCCAGTAGCGTTTTACTTTAACATGTACAACTTGAGCTTATTTCGAGTTAGCTTCTGCTAATAAGTTACACAAGCTATTACCGTACACGCAGCGGGTTCTGTTAGCCGCAATCTTTTAGCATTTAACACACACAGCTAATGTAAAAATGAACACGCTACAGGTCAGACTCAATCATCTTAATAACTTTGTTGAACTGTTGGTTCCACCTACCATTGTTTTGCTCCATGTTTTAGACCTGGAGATGCAACATGCACACGCAGTGCCGGATGGAGCTACTTCCGGGTGGCGTCACACGCTGCTCATCTGCCTCTCCAATTGCATTGCACCGCTGGCATCTACGTCCCGCCTCTCTCGCAGTGCCACCAATAGGCTGCCGAGACACAATATGGTGCGTTCAATTGCCTCACAAAATATCAGAATCAACATTAGCATGGCTGGTTTACTTTATATATGTATAAATGTGT